CCCCAAAACCCCAAAACCCCAAAACCCCTTCAAAAATGCATAATATTGGAAAACATTCTATAAATTTTGATAACCAAATGAATTATGGCTTAATAGGAAGTTGTAGGTCTTATCCATACTTGGAAGGATCGTCTGGAGTATCCCTGATAGGAGATTTTACAGTAACCATGCACTTATCCATTAACTTCTGCTGTTCTGTTCCTTTAGTAGTTTGTAATTCATTCAGTGTTTTAGATTTTCTGAAACTGATTTTTTAGAGATCGGGCTGTGCTTCTTCAACAAATTGATCAATCCTATTGATGTTATCTACAGTCTTTGGACCAATTGCTTGGTTTCCTGTAATGGTGGTTTCTTAACAGTTTCTGTATAATTAGTAGGGGTGCAAATTAGTATCTTTTTGTCTCGGTACTTTAAAATTAACCCTCTGGAGAAACCTCCTCAGAAAGTTTAACATAGATATATTGCCCTCTTGTGGCTCAATTTTGATTTTAAGATGCTTAGCTTTGAAATAGACATAGAGAGATTTTGCAGAAGTTACTTTATGAAGATTAATTTAGATAATAGCTTTAGTGATATTTTGTTGTCACTTGTTTTTGACAGTAGGGGCTCAGTTATCAGTATTAGTATTCTTAATAGTCGTCGGAGTTTCTTTTGGAGGCTCTAAGATAGACTTGAGGGGTGAGACTCCCAGCTTTTCAACATTATTCTTCTCCATTTGTTAGGTAATTAGTTTTGATTTTTTAAGATATTTTCTTCTTTTCTTGTTCCTTGGCCAATTATAACTTCACACAAATTTCCTGGGTTTTCTTCTATTTGTCCTTTATTCTTTTGGGTATATTCCCTCTACAGTTCTATTAAATACTGTAAATGAAGAAATTTTCTTTAAAAATTCATAATTTAACATTTCTTGGAATAATTGGCACAATTTTCTTTAACTACCTTCAAACCAAATTCCATCTTATTTCTTGATTCTTTCTCTGAATAGAAATCAATCTTTTTATAAACTAATTCAAAAGGTTGGCTCTAATAGTCTATCATGACTATTTCATACTTGAAAATCTATCTGAATTAGTGATCAAGCAACTAGATTGAAACCTGTTCTTGCGATTCCCTCAACTCATCTTAAAAATATTCTATTCAGGATATTTATTTAGGGGTTTTGGGGTTTTGGGGTTTTGGGG